GCTAAAACTTTAGTTTGTATTTCATGCTGTTTGCTCTGGCATTTTTACTTGGATTTCTGCCATCCACATTTTTTTCCATCATGTGTTTCAACACAGCTCCCGAGGTCATTCTCTTCAATTGTATCAGCATAACTATCTCCTCAAATCTTTTCACTCTTATCGAAGTGAGCCACTACAATTTACAAAGCTCAAACGTCTCTTCTGACTTTCATCTATTTTCAGCCCATTCTACTTCCACAGTCCTTGTTGCAGTCATCCCAGCTACTCTGATTTCCTGCACTGTCTCTCTCATTTTCACGGCTATCTTTTATCCCATAGGTTTTATAGTACGAATAATTTCTTCTTTTTGTCCACCTTTTCCTTTCCCTTTTTAAAATCTAGTTTGTATAAAGCCCCTCCTCTTTGTTTTTGTCAATAATGAAGCCTCTTGATCTGTTTCTGAATGACTGTCCTTCATTGTCTTTTGTGCTTAACAAAGAAACAAATGGCTCTAATGAGTCAGACCAAAGTTCTGTCCAGTTCACAATATGCAGTAGAAGATAATTCAGGAAAGAGGGGAAAAAGCTGGATTAACACTAACCTCAGTATATCCTCTCAGCTTCCATAACACAAGAGAGACCTGAGTGACAGGTACTGTCTTCATGTTTAACAAATTTGTTAAGTTTTATTACACGAATTTTCCTAATCTTTTTGGACTAATCTTTACTTCTGCTATCCACAAGCTTCTGTGCAATTAACAACTTTATTTTGCATTGTATGGAAAATTTCCTCCTTTCGTTTGCTTTAAATCAATCAACAAGTTTGATTTCCATCTGGTTCTCTTATTACATTGAACAGTGAATATTCATTCCCTGGTCACTTTCTCTATGCCCTTTGTAACTTTACAGCTGCGTTGTATCAGCTCTATTCTATCTCTTCAGGCTGAAAAGTTTCCAGGCAACTTAAGTCTTTCTTCAGATATTCCAAAACCATGACCAAACCTGTGAGGGCCCCAAGTGCATCCTCTCCAACCCACCTCCTGGGTGTTTGGCTGGGCTGAAGGCCAACTTAGAAAGAGTACAGCTGTGACCTTGAAAAAACCTGTTTGAAGAAAGCTGGAAGAAGACTCAGAAATGGCTGCCGCTCCTTCCCTTGGGAGCTGCTTTTAAGCTGAGGCTTTCACCCTTGGCCTACCTTGAGCTATGCTGCGGCTGTGTTGCAGCCACATACCATGTAGATCTAGACCCTGGTTGTGACCCAGGGAGTGACTTCTGGCTTGATTTCAGACCCACCTCATCACCATGGACCTAGTAGTGAGCGCGAGACCACGTCTGGCCCTTGTTACCCTTTCTGGACCTGATCCTGATGCAACCTCCTGTCGTGACCTTGGACCTGCTCCATCACTACGTACTTGTTTGGCAACATGGACTTCTGGCTGACCGTGGCAGCCCTCACTGGGCCAGCGTTGCATGGTTATGGTGGGAATGAGTCTTAGCTGGTGAAGCTCCTACCTCTGTGGGCCTTGTTACATGATTGGTTCCCCAGTCCCTGTCCCTTGCTCCTCCCTGACAATACCAAACCTTGCCACCTTTACCTGTTACCTTTTCTACTTCCGGTATGTCCCATTTTGAAACATGGGGACCAGAACCTTACATGAAAATCACAGGAACATGATGCTTGCTTCTTTAACCACTAGTATTTTCAGAGAACTGTACAGAAGGACGCCAAGAACTCTGTCCTGAGAAGCAATCAACTGGAGCCAACCACTGTTTATATAAAATGCCTCCCATGTACACTGCTGCCGGTTTTCATCTCCCCTTTTTACCCCTTGTCATTCTGTATCATGAGATTCTTAGTATAACTCAATAGATTAGCATTGTTAGCAAACTTCACTCGCTTACTCAGTAGCTTTTCCAATTAATTTCCAATTATGCTAAATTATTTAAGTCCCAGCAAGGACCTAAGTGAAACCAACCAGCAATCTCACTCCAGCACGAAACTAGGCTTATTCCTATCCTGTTGCCTAACTTTTACCAAGTTGACTTGTCAGAGACCAAAGTTCTACAAGAAGATGCACCTTTCAGCAGGTCTACAAACTACAGAAGAATAAGCAACCAAAGATCTAGGCTAAGTACTAAATATTACTTCTTTTTTCAAATATCCATCTGAAAAGATATACTTCTAGAGTTAAAAGAAATCCTAATTTAAGTTTTCTCTTTAATTCCTCCTTTAGTTGGCACCTTTTTTTTTATGATGTAGAGGTTTAAAATTCCAATCTGTGAAATAGTAAATGCCATCTTATTATTTAGCTTCCATTGAACAGTTTGAGTGCTCCTATGATTAATATAAACTGCTATCACCATTCATAACTATTTAGCACCATAATGGCATCTGCTATACAAAGCAAAACAAATACGACCAAAACTCGGATCGCATTAAAACTGAAACACAAGTGCAGCCTGTGGAATAAACTTACAACAGTGGTATTGGCTTAACTGAACTCAGCCTTGAAGGATTATATGCTATTCCTTACACTTTATAACCGAGTTGGAAATGTCACTCAGATAAAACCTTGACAGTGACATTACAAACACAAAATGGGCTGTCACACTGTTTAATCTGACCTCTTCAGACAGTAAATCTCACACAGATAAAGTCTAATAGCTTTGGACAGCTCTTCAGTCCTCCAGAAGTTAAACAGATGCCAAGACAGAACACAACACTAAGATTCCACCAATACCCAAGGTTCTTACAGAATTAATTTAAGTGAGCAAAATTCAAACAGGAATACTAAAACTTCAGTATAACTCTCAGCATGGTTCAGGGAAAATGTCTTCAAAAACCCCAGCTGGGCTATCAGACTGTCCCTGAACAAACCAAATCACACAAGCAGCTAAGAAATATAATTCTTTATGTTCTCTTGGAGCGCCAGCCGCACCAGTCTGACATGCCATCTCCAATTACAGGCAAGCTTTGACATTTCAGAAGGCAGCAAAATATGCATTCAAGAATGCATCTGGCTCATTTCTCATTGGGCAAAACATTTCTGGTGACCAGACGAAACCTAACATTTGTCATATTGACACCACTGGAACAGCCCGGCTGGGGGCACAATAGTGTCAGTGCCAACCTTACTCTTCCCAAATGTTGACCCTATTGTTCTACACAGACATCTGAGCTGCTTATGGATTAACATAAGTCACAGGCCACCACTCTAAGCAAAAGTACTGATGTTTGTTTCCTTAGAAATGCTGGCTTTGTAAACTGTGGCAGTTCACTAGAAGCTCAAGAGGCCTGCATGGATGGGAAAGGTAAGCATCTGGGCACAGTAACATCATCAGGTGTACCAAGCTCATCTTTCCCTGCCAACACTTTGTTTCCTTGGAAAAGGAGATGACATGATCAAAAGAAGAAAGATGAAGAGAAAAAAAATGAAAGAAAATACAAAAGGAAGGTTTTTCTTTCATAGGTACTGCGTGTGCTCAAAAATCTCTTAAAGTGGATGGATAGTAACATAACTGGAAAACAGTTATTTTAATGAAGTTCTCAAGATATGTTTGTGGATTAAAGTTACCTGGTTTATGCAAATGAGATTAATTTCATTACAGGACCCAAGGTTAAACATTACTGGTTTTCAGACAGTATCTTAGATCCTTGCTATTTTATTTTTATGTTTTATATGACTGAAAATAATGGAAAAGTTTCGCAGAACTTCCTGAACACATGCAAACCCCATATATTTCTTTTAAAAAAACCTACCTTCTTTTACTGATTCCTCCTTTGATTGGCTTAATGTTAACAATCTGTTACATTTTTCCAGCTGAAGAACCAGGAGGTTATTTGCTTCATTAATTTCTGATATTTTCTAGAGAATTGGAAAAAGACTAAAGTTATATTCATATCTTTTGATTTAAGTTTTAAATATTGAGTTTTAAATTAATATAAAATTTAACAATTTCACATCACTGCAGTCACAAATCCATATCATTTGCCATTCTGGAAACTCTGTTACAGAGAAGAACGATGATCGACTTGAGAACCTGCGCTATTTTGAGTTTACCTTGCAGAACTAAGAATGCCAAGTTACATCACTAATTATAAACTGGTTTCTTCTCAATTCTGTAGTCCATAGGCTGGACCAGTCCTCAGCAAGGTTCTTCCTACTGCTGTGCTTATGAGTCTGTCAGTGCCCTCACTGAGCACCAACAAGAGTAATGGGTGTGAACAGGAATTGGTATAATAAGTTTTTGCCATGAGAACTGCTAAATTTACTTCAGGTGGCCCTTTTTATATTATCCCTAGTATGCATTTACTGATCAGGAAATCACCAGGGAGCTGGTCAACGTGGGTCTAACAATGAATACAGTACTGATTTTCCTCAGTAGATCAATCTTTTAAGAACTGACATATACCTGAAATAGAGAGAGCTCAATGCATATGAAAAATTATGGAAATAGAAAAACATGGAAAAAGAACAAATGCTCACACTATGGTAATGAGATTTTTCTAGAACAAGGAATGACTTCTGAAAGGATAGCCCAGCAAAGCTGTGCAATACTGTTATCTCCAGCAGCAGCTTCTGATAAAAAGGGGCACTTCAATGCTCTTCTTGAGAAGCCAAAACGGCCTCTGCACCATTAAAATTCTAGCACAGAAACAAAGGCTTCTCAGACTCCACAGAAGTCACTCATAGCACTCCGAGATAGTTAATACAAAAACTTTCCAAAGTTGGTATTACAAGGCATATGAATAAGAATAAACTGATACCACTTAGAAGAAATTTTCACTTGAAAAGCTTACTAAAATGTCACAAAAAAATTACAGGTAACAGTTTCAGCATTTTTTTACCTTTTTAACTTACCTTTTCTATCTCTGAGAAGTTATCCAAAAGCTTATCAAGGTTCACCACGCTGATTTTCTTTGTAGTTTCTTCATGGCTGTGATTCATTTATTTCTGGAACATATATTCCAGTGATTACTGTATACATAAAAACTAGACCAATGAACTCATATATTTCTCATTCATACTATGTCAAAAGATTTGCACAAATATAAGCAGAACGAAGAACACTATTTGTTTTTTTAATTAAAACTATTTTTGCATGTGAAGCTAAACTTCAACCAACCTAAGATCTTGCCTTTCTAGGAAACACAATGGAAGTCAGAAAGCCCACGTAAAATCTATCAAACTGTTAGATTATATAGTTGAATTTAGAAATTTTTTTCTGTAATTAAAAAAGAAACCTGAATCCACTTCCATAGACACAATGATGCAATTTTACACAAGTGTATTCATGCTCTGCACATAGGATGCTTCTAAAACATACGACCAATTTCTCCTTAGATATGCTGCTAAAACAGACTGGTCTTCCTGTCCTCACTTTAAAGAGTAATAAATTCAATCAATTGAAACAACTACTCATTCTCTATTGTGCATATTTTAGAGGCAACAGATGAAATTTTGTTAAGTTTGATTAACTTAAAAAATGTAAAAATCAGATTTTACCAGCACACATTAATGCAGGATCTAGACCTTTTACCTATGTAGATGCTTTAAGACTTAAGTACTCAGGCTTCAAGCTACTTACACATTTTCTTATAAAAAATTTGCATTAATATCAGAGTTGAGACACTGCAGCACATAAACCTTAGCACAGGAGTAAAACCACAGTATTTTGAAAAGCACCTGTATAATTCCAGGTTATTAACACAATTCCTAGTAGAAATACTACTTACAGAATCTTCAACATACATTTGCAAGATGAATCTCGAAGACCCAATATGAATGCTTTTAAAAATTTTGAAAATATCTCTGAACATCAGGCTCCATGAAACAAAAGTCCCAATACCAGGTAAACCATGTATTCCAGACAAAAATAATCACTTCTACATGGTAATGTATGAACTGTCTTTTTACAAATAACAAAAACTTGCAACGAGAGAGATGAACCGGAAGTTAGAATGTGTGCACTACCCAGAAACTGAATGGGATTTCAGGCAGAAACACTTACCGTGAAGTTAGGTGGAAAAAGATACGTAAATGAACAACTACTAAGCAGGAACCAAAATTACATAACTGAATTATTTTCTCAGCCATTCAGTATTTACAAGTCTTTATGTGTGTGTAACTTCTTTACCAAAGCAGTAAGATGAAGATATTGGCTCTGTGTGTTTAATACTCATTTTGCTCTTGTATCCACTATTTCCTCTGAGGAACTAAAAAGAATTCATTAGCTAAAGCTAATTAACTGGGTTTTTTTTAAATCAACAATTTTTAAGAATACATGTAACATTAAAGAACTAATGCTTCTAAGTTAAATCAGTGATTTGTTACTAAGTTAGCAATCTTAATGACTTCTGTTATTACAGTGCAATGGTTTATTAAAATAGAGTTTAAAATACTTATTCAGGACATTCAATTTTGTAAAACAATTACATATCTTAATATTCTATTAGTTGATAATCTAAATATACACTATGAATGCCAAGCCTTGATCTTTCCGGTCCTTATCATGGGCAGTATCATATCTGTCAATCACCGTTTCTTTCCATTACGCTCTTACAACTGTGTTTCACCCTCTAAATTTTGACTGGGGATGGGAGTTCAGGGAGCTGCCATTTTGTGTGCTGTTTTGTTTGTTTCCTTATTCCATGGCATCATTTGTTCTCTCAGAAGACAGGATGTGCTCAGCACTTGGCACCATTAGGCAACAGTGCCGCTGGGAATAAAAATCCTGCTGTTTAAACAGTAAATTAAAAATATGTTGTATTATTAATGTTGTATTTTTCCAGCAGGAAAACTTGTCACTTTTATTTTTGTGTATATTAATATTATAGAGGTTATGTCTTCCAAAGGCATTGTTGTTAAGCCTCCGACCCCTGTTTTGAACTATTGCATTTATGTCACTATGGGGCAAATTAAAGATTTAAAATGTTTTTTTGACTGTCATAAACCCGACACCTTTATTTAATCTCTCTTTAATCCCTTGCTATCCATGCTCTCTGTGTCTCCTTTTTTAAGTATTGTAGCTGATGATCTGATATTGGAATGTAAGGTTTCATTTTTGCTTCAAAATAGCAGCGGAACCTTTACTTACAAGCAAAATAAAATGAGTATACATTCATTTTTAATTGCATATCTCAATAGAATATAGTAATTATTCGATAACAAGCACTTCAAATAGTCTCATCATTTTTCTGAACTCCAATCTTTAAGTTAGGCACCTGACATTTGCATTGTACTCGGCACTGGTGAGGCCACACCTCGAATGCTGTGTTCAGTTTTAGGCCCCTCACTACAGGAAAGACGTTGCGTTACTGGAACATGTCCAGAGAAGGGCAACGAAGCTGGTGAAGGGTCTGGAGCACAGGTCGTCTGAGGAGCAGCTGAGGGAACTGGGGTTGTTTAGCCTGGAGAAGAGGAGCCTGAGGGGAGACCTTATGGCCCTCTACAGCTGCCTGAAAGGAGGTTGTAGTGAGGTGGGGGTCGGTTCCTTCTGCCAAGTAGCAGGTGATAGGACAAGAGGAAATGGCCTCAAGTTGCACCAGGGGAGGTTTAGACTAGATATTAGGAAATACTTCTTCACGGAAAGGGTTGTCAAGCATTGGACCAGGCTGCCCAGGGAAGTGCTTGAATCCCCATCCCTGGAGGTAGGCGTCACGCGCAGGGACATGGTTTAGTGGTGGACTTGACAGTGCTAGGTTAATGGTTGGACCTGACGATCTTAATGGTCTTTTCCAACCTAAACGATTCTGTGATTCTATTGACTATTACCTTCCTTTAATTACTCACTCGTTGAAGACCATGAGCACATTTAAAACACGGTTTGCAGATCAAAGTTACCACCACCCAAATGGCACCCGAGTGGGGGGAATCCCATCCCCTTATCCGATTGCACCGACAACTGCAACGGGACAGAAGTACCAGCTGCACCACTGCAAAGCTTACCGACGGCACCCACCGAGCCCTACCGACCCTCCTTTGCCCCTCCCACCTCTGCGGTTTGCCCGCACAAAGTGCCCCGGGTAGAAGTTACGACCCTCTCACAGCCTCAGGTGCACAGGACACTCAAAGCGCTGCCTTTTACTCCGCAGTGCGTGGGCACAACCGCTGGACGGAGCGGGGTGACAGCGCTGCCGGTACGGGCGAGGGGCGCCGCCCACCCCGCCCCGCCCCTTCTCCCCTCAGGGG